TTTTTCAGCGGCCAATTTTCTAGATAATGTAGCTTATCAACACTGTGGGTAAACTTGCCAATGGAATCAGGCTGCACTGAACCACACACACGCTAATTGCATCCCTTTTTTATGCATATTTACAGACTGTCACTTCAAAGAAATCAGTGGCCCATTGAGGCACCCAGTTAGCTGGAAGAATTGCCTCTTGCAAATGAAAATTAGCAAACAAGCTAGTGATAAATATGAAATGAACAAAGTATAAAAATACTGTTTTGTTCCGCAACTTCCTTGTCATCCCAATTTATACTCCCAAATAGAAGGAGTTTTGAACATAGGATTTGCCTTTTGTTTCCAAATGAAGACAGAAAGAATTCTTCCTTAAACCCACTAACTAGGTGAAAGCCCTATTAGCTTTCCCCTCTTCTCCCACGCCACCCCCACCCCAAATTTCTATTCACATAAACAGGTTATTAAATCCCGTATTAGGTTTGCTTTGGAGTTTGAATAGACAAATGACATGTTAACACTTCAGAAACAATTAACCCTGGGAACTTAATTAAGTTCTTTCTGACTTTAAGGAAGCACATTTCAAAATAATGCTCCTAAACTCTCTGAGTTTGCTCAAAAATAGCAATGCTTTCCCCTCTCTAAAGTATTCCTAAGTTCTACTTAACAGCAGAAAGCTTTGCCTGGCTATATATGGATAAAGGTTATGGTGTTATGAGCCTGCTGGAATTTGACTCGGAGTGAGTATTCGAGAAAAAAAAAAGACAGGTACCAAAAAATAACAATAATTGAAAAAAAATTTTTTTTCCCAAAGCCCCAAACGCTGGCCATATATAAAATAGGAAACGATTTTAGAACTATGTCCTGGGAGCTCCGCACAAACAAAAATCCTGAGATATGGACCGTGCGTTAGTCTGAAATCCTTTCCCTTGCTCCTTAGAATAACATTTCGAAATCTTTCACTGCTACAACAATGTTTTTAAGGCAATGTAAGGTTTTGCAAAGCATGTCATTTTAATATAAGCAGGTCATTTTAATATAATTAAAAATAAACCACATACCAATTAAACCACAATTACTTTTAAAGTTCATGTGCCAAACTGAGCAATGTAGAGTGGCAAAGCTCAACAAATAAATGGCACTTAAAGTCTTAGCTTACAGCAAAGGTTCAGGGAGACTTTATTTGGTTTGGAGTAGTGTACATTGCTCCTGCCGTATGTCACGGTTTCAACAGACTCCTCAATTCTTCTCACTACCAGGGGATATACAATGTCATTTGAGAGATTTTGTTTTTTTTACAGAGCACAAGCAACAATATAAATATTGATACGAACACTGGGAAAACATTGCTATTTTAAGAAACACACTACACCTACATGCCGACTGCTCATTTCTTACATGAGAAGAGCAGCGTTCTTTAGTAAATTAGTGCTCATCTGTGTGCACTAATTTAGACAATTGTTTTATATCACTTTCCAAATTGCAATATAATTGAGTGTTTATATGTCTGTCTCCCTGCCCAGACTGGGAACTCCTTGAAGACAGGAATCAGGTTTTCTGGAAAGGTGAGTAAGACCTAGACCCCAGCATCTAGGAGTTCATGGTGTAAGGGGGGGGGGCAGAGAAAGATGCTCACTTATGCAGCTATCCTGTGCCAGGACAAAGAACAAAGAGCTACGGGATCCAAAGAAGAGACCAGTCTATTCTGCCCAGGGTGGCGGTTGGGAAAGAAATCAGACCAGTGATGACATTGGCCTCACCTCCTAAAAGAGAAGTGATGTTTCAATCTAGCAAGGAAAGGTATTTCGGGCACATTGAACCAAGCAAGCAAATAGAAGACAGGAGATTAAATGGGCTTTTCATGGAAGAGAGATTTTTGGTGATGCTTAAAGCTTAGCCAAGTGGGGTGGGGGGCAAGGGGAGCAGCAGGAGCATCCATGCAATGCATAAACAGAGAGAAAGAGATCTAAATTCTACATAGGACTATGTCACCTTTACCTTGTGTACACTTGTGCTGTGTGGAAGACACAATGTAGGGAAAGCTGTATGAGCCCTTCTGAAACAGAAGAGTGCTCATGAAGTGACCAAAAGATACCCTGATTAAGGAAAAATTTATGACAATTTGATGTTTAAAGTTTGCCTGTATTGCTACCAAATTCCATAAATACGTATTCACACGGCGACTCTATAGTGTTTGTCTATAACACGGTTAAGGCTGATTCCACAAGACACAAGAAAATCTTATCACCTTGCTGTGTATGGGCGCACTGAGGAATGTGCTGTCCCTCAGCCGCTCTTGCATCAGGGGAAACAGGAACAAATTTCTCTGTCAAAGGGGCCAACTGAAATTTGGTTCAACCTTACTCCTAAAAATGTTTGGAGAAAAAGATAGCAATTGTATCTGATGTGGCAGGGCTTTTAAAGGTTTATCTAAAAACTTTGTTTATTGAAAATGGTTTTTAATTTTAACATTCAAAAAATTTGCTTTGGGGAATTGGCAAAAAAAAAAAAAAAGTCCAAAGCGAGCCAGTTGTTCTCAGAGAAAATCTTTCAATTGATTAATAGATCATTCGCTATTTCTTAGCTGTTTTATAATACAGACATTGCTTCTAGAACATAAGTGGCAAAATAATAATAGTAATAATTAGTAATAATAATATGCCAGCAGCTAATAATTTTAGCACACTCACTCTCTGTCAGGAAGTGAGCCAGGGATTTCACTTACCGTATGCCGTCTAACTATCAGAACATTCCTGTAAACTAAGTATTTTTAAACATTTTTTTTTAAATAAAATAAAACACTGAGGTAATTTCTCTTGGCCACTATTGTAAAGTGGTCAATGGCAGAGCCAAGATTCCCATCTGGGTCAGCCTCCCAACCTTATGAGTATGACCACTGCAATATGCCACCTTTCTTTGTAAAAATGAGCTTGGCTGGATCCTGTTTGGAAATAAATCTTGAGAGAGAAAGTGAAGAACAAAGAAGCGAGAAAAAGAATAGAGAACAGATAGCTAACTTCTTTGCCTCCATTTCCTCCCATGCCTTTGGGAGCTCCCCATTCCCCCACATTCTCTTATTACAGGTTTCCTGGCTTATCTCTCTGACAGATTAAAAGCTCCATGAGGGCAGGACCTATATTTGTCTTGGCCACCACCGCATCCCTCCAGCTATAGAACTGGCCAGTAATGGGTGCTCAATAAGTGAATAAAATACAACAATCTATTTCCTCTCTCTTCATGACTTGATGAGTTCACTTCTCAACCAGCTGTTCCCTTGTTCTACAACAGCCTCAAAAAAGAAAAGTGTCGATGCTGAGGGCCACAGGGTAGAATACTTTCTGGATTCTGTACCCGCACCTTTGCAGTCGCAGACCCTTCAGGTCTCATGAGTGGCGTGCAGGGTGGGCCTCCTCAGTATGGTCACTAGAGTCCCAGGCTCTGATGCTCTTTTCAATTTTTTTTTTTTCATCTCCGACTAGGCACTGGGCAAATTTAAAACAAAGAGTAGAGCTCCTCTACCTTCTTTTAACTTTTTCAAATGAAATTCCCTGTGAGGCAGTTTGAGGATAATACCAAAACCAGAAATTCTACCTCTTTGAACATTCCACAGAGGTAAAAGGTCATTTTAGCCATTTTCTGAAACCAACAAAAATTTACATTTAACCCACCTAAGAATATTTTTAATGGGTTGTTGCCCCCTCCCATTTCAGAGTATCAATCAAGAAATCATAGGTTTTACTATGTAAACATTTGCTCTAAATTCTCCTTTCTAGAAATATGTATTTACTTCATAAATGAAACCAACTTAGCAGTTAAAAATCTGTGTCAAGTACGTGGCCCGTATATGCTAAGTGTGTTCTGGTTTATTTTGCTCATGCTTCATCAGACACCTGTTTTGTACTGAAATCTTCACTGAAAGGTTTTATTTTTTACTTTGCTGATCTATTTGTTTTCCTTTTCTCTCTTTTTTCCCCAATCCCTTTGCTTTTTGGATTTAACTTGCAATTTTTATCTCTATTCTGGGATCCCTCCCCCTTCGCTCACTGGTCAGAAGGAGAGTTTTTCTTTGTGTTAGAATTATTCATGGGACCCACGCAACGAAGGCTGGGCACAAAATAAACTCCAGCTCAAAGAAAAAAAAAAAAAAAACGTGTTGTTTGAAGAGGATGGCTTTGGAAAGTTCACCGAGCTCAGAGCGGAATAAACAGAACTGGAGCTAACTTGGGAGCAAGAATATTCTCAGAGCAAGCAGCCAAGCTGGTAGCCAGAGCGAAACAGAACCTTCTGAACATCTATTTTGTTTTCATTTCAGGAAGTAAGAACACCTTGGTCTTTGCTGATTGTTTTGATCTAGGTAGTACATCTGGAGTTTTGCTAAACAGCACCCCCCCCCCAAATCTGGGACAACTTGAATAAAATGGGAAAATGCAAAAAAAAAAGATTTTTGCTTAATATTTAAAAGAAAAAACAGGAGAGAAAGGGGAAAGGAGAGGACATACCTTGGGAAGTTTTTTAAAAATTAGGTAAAATGTAACTTGTTCTGAATATTTTTGACACAAGTCACCCTATAATTGCCATTTCTGCAAGGTGTCTCAATTATAGTAGTACAATGTAGCAGTTTAAATGCCTATACATTTGTCTGAAAAATGAAAAAAAAGCCACAACATTGTCTATTAAGTGTCAAAAAAGACTTTTCTTTAACCATAGAGGGCTTGGACAGAACTCAGGAAATACTTCAGCTGGAAAAGGAAGGTTAAAAGCTACCCTGCAAGCTATTGGAAAACCTATTATCAAATGTTAAAACCTTAAAAAAAAAAAATCCGTGAGTGTCCCTAGCTTGATTATATATCTTTATTTAGCAAAAGGTGATCATCACTAATAACCAAAGACAAAGTACCAATAAATGCAATCTAACTGCTAATTAGGAATCACGATGCTTAAATGAAGAAACTCAAGGAGAACAGGTACCTGATTACGTATGTTCTCTCAATGCTGGAACCACATTTACTTACAGAAAACGCAGTTCGTGTTTCTCTTTATCACATCTCTAAGTCATAATGTCAACACTTGGGACGCTGCTAGCTGTCACTGTGTGTGAGATCCTAAGGAGGAAAAAAGAAAACACAGCATAACTTTCCTTCAGAAGAAAAACAGTGTGGAAAAATACACATAGTATATATGCGCATGCAGACAACCTTTCACTTGTTTCTCTCGGTTCACAGGACATAATAAGAATTAATTAGCACATTCCTAAACCATTAGCCCCAATTTCCTAATGTGTGCATCTACGCAGAACTGAAGATTTTGTAAAGAAAGGGACAGAAACCAGAAAGCTAGGGTCAGAAGCAGATGCACAGATGTACATATAAATGGATGTTCTGTGATTGTGTCTCTTTGTGATGCATAATTACAAATGATTTTAATTCAACCCCTTCGCGATGAGCTATCTCTTTTTTTCCCCTCTGCTCTAAATACGGTAACTACAAGCCCCCCAAATTCATCTCTTACAGACTTGGAAGATTTAAAAATTTCTCCAAAATGCCACATGTCAGTCAAAAAAGAAAATGATTGGCTTTTAAAATTATAATTTAAAGCACATTGACTAGAAGGTATGTTTTCGTTCAAATTTAACCCTTTTTTTGGGCTCAAGCATCTGGGGCTCTGGGGAATGTACTGTAAACGTGGGTTTTTACCTCCAGATCCTTCTGAGAAAGAGGAGCTACAAAATAAAAAGCACAGAATTACAATGAAGAGGAGCCCTACGTTATTATAATGTATGTCCTTCAAAATTCACCTCAATTTGGTATTAACTGCTCGTTCACTTGAAATACACAGAAAAACCAAAAGCTTGTCACTTCCATCTGTAAATGGTTAGAAATTAAATGCATCAGGTAAGTTTTAAGTCAGACATGTATGGGAACTGAATTTTTTTGATGGCATCATTTTATATCCTCTGAAGGGAGTTGTTTTCTATGAAGTGTAAGCTTTTTGTACTACATATAATGATTCTGCACTGTGGAAATATTCCATTAAAACATGAATTATTTTGAAAGAGTAGGAAATTTGGCAAAATAAACCCCAAACCTAACAATGCCATCCAACAAAACGATTGATTGTTCGTTCAAAACAGTTTACTTTCCTTTTTCTTCATGCTGGCATTAAAAAGAACTACCTCTTGGTACTTACACAAATCTACACACGTGGTAAAATCTCATTAAACTGCACAAAACAATAGTGTCCATCTAAAAAGTGATGAAATCCACATAAGGTCTATAGCCTGGTTAATAGTATTTTGGGAAAGTCGATTTCCCGCTTATGACACATATAATGACTACATAAAATGTTACCATTGGGGGAAGCTGGGTTAAGGGTATATGGTACCTCTCTTCCATTTTTACAACTCCTTATACATCTACAGTTATTTCAAAATAAAAAGGAGAAAAAAGCACCCCTATCTGAGTTTTATAAGTCTGAATTCCCAGACATTGTGTTGTATTTTCTCAATGCAAGGAATTGAATAGGTTCTCACTAAAATTCAGATCTACAAATTTTAAGAGAAATTTCTGGAAGGGTCAGAAATAGATCCTTCCATCTACACAGATCAGAGGGAAGTATGATACAAGTGTTATCATCCTCAAGGTCCTATCAAAACTGTCTCTAAGTTTCTCCAACCATCTTACACCTTCTTTACCCCAATCTCTATACCTACCCACTGGCCCAGGCAAAAATAACATCTCCCTCAGGATGCATAGCAGTAAAGTCTAGTGGTTGAGAGCCTACATTCAAATCGCTGCTCTGACACTACCTGTACCACCTCGGTCAAGTTCCTTAGCCGCTGAGAGCCTCAGTTTGCTCATCAGTAAAATGGAGCTAACGGTTTCTATCATGTAGGGATGTTGTGACAGGTGAGTGAAGCAATAGGTACAAAGCCCTCAACACAGGGCCTGGCTCACAGGGGCACATCAGCTGTGTGCTTCCTACGTAGCAGGTGAGGGAAGCAGACCCGTTAACAGCAGCCCCTCCTCTTGTTAACTGCACGACCTAAACTCTGTCCAAGCTGAAACCCCCTTGCCCGTGAAAACGGACGCAATGCAGTGCCTGCCATAGACTAAGTGTCCAGAGCCAGACGATGGTCATTAGGATTGCATTTACCGCATTCTAAATACTGCACTAACTGCCTGTTTCGCTGCACGTTAGGTCCTAAAAGGCAGGAGTCAGGTGTTCCTCTTTCTGTCTTCTGCCAGATGTTGCAACAAAGTAGCTGCTCCTTACATATCCACTAAATTGTAATTTTTTTAAATTTTTATTTATTTATGATAGTCACACACACAGAGAGAGAGAGAGGCAAAGACATAGGCAGGGGCAGAAGCAGGCCCCATGCAGGGAGCCCGATGTGGGACTCGATCCCGGGACTCCAGGGTCACACCCTGGGCCAAAGGCAGATGCTCACCCACTGAGCCACCCAAGTGCCCCAAATTGCAATTTTTAAAAAGCCAATGATAGAACTCTAAAACGTTAGGACTCACTATTTGAACCACATCACAAAGGACCACAAAAGCAAAAAGACATTACAGAGCTACTCTGGTTGCTGGAAATTTCCTTTTTTTTTTTTTTTTTCCCTTGGTGATGCTAACCTCCTTTAAGTTTTCAGCCACTGAATTTGTCAAAGTAACCCTCTAGGAGAGTTGCGAGTTCTGGGTTCCTAAGTACAGCAGGCACCGTCTAGCAACCCTGGCCTTGAAGACCCGAGTACTGGGGTGTCCACACAGGCACAGGTTTTGCCTCCGAAGGACACCACAAATAAACGGCAATGCCTTCCTTGTCTTTACTAACACATTCCCACACGCTTTTGGTGAACAATAGCCTTGAGAATGTAATAAATGCCCACAGCCACAGCCTGGGATGCCACAGTTTTCCATGACAACGTTTATTCCTACACTCTGGCTTCCACACCATACAGAGGGGTCTGGCCGTAATCCTGAAGTCCCTTAGAGGGCTGGAGTAGGGTACTCAGAGAATACGTGCCTTTCTGTCACAAGCACTTATTGACTGTGACTTGAGAAACCCTCATACAGATAAATCTAACCCCACAATAATTCAATATTTTTTTCTCCAAAACAAAACCATTAGCATTTTATTAGAAGAAATATTTCATCCTTCGGTTCCCCTCCCCACCTCTCTCTCTCTCAAAACACACCACAGATGTAGCACTCTCTGTGGGTTGTTAGAAAGTCAAAGAATATAATTTCTTGATTAATTGCCATACACAGGACCCAAGTTATGCACAATTTTGGTAGTTAACCCCACCACCTCCCATAGGCTGTTACTGCAAAATGTTCCAAACAAGCACATTTCTGATAAATCACTTGGAGCTGTTTAAGTGGATCGGGCCTTAAGTCATTCCTTGGGATAGATCATGTCATTTTCGATGCGTATGAGCTGCAGGAGAGAAACTCCACTGTAAACCTCTGCCACGGTGTCTTCGTTTCCCTTGCAGGCATCAGGGAGTCTCAGTCAATATTTCTTATCTTATTTTTAAATATCTTGTGGTCTCCGAAATGGTTGGTGATTCAGAAATTACATCAAGAGTCTAAAGATAGACTACGGGCTTATGACTTCAATAAATGCGGCAGTTCTATAACAGGAAAAGAAAATGCCTGTTGGTTTTAAGACTACTGGGAACCAAAGAGGGATTCTTCGTTGGGCCGTTTAGAGTCAATCTCTCCAAAAGCAAGTTACCTCCTCTCCTCCACCATCCATCTCCTTCCGTGGGTGCATGAATATAAATCACAAGGATCCCTAGATAGTGCTATAGTGCTGATGGCTGAGCTATGGACACCTTTCTCTAGACTTTTCCCCCCTCCGCAGATTGTTGAGTGACAGCTTCCATACTGGTTATTTCCCCAATGGAATAACTGATTTGCCCAAGACAATAGGGCTGCCCACAGCCGAGGCGGGAGGGAAAGCTCAGGTCTCCGGGGTATCTGGGGGATGCTCCTTTCTGTCCATTCTGCCTCAATGAGTTATATACATCCCCCATCTTTCTAAGGCAATCCTTAGCATGAAACCTCTATACAGCTGACCCCATATTCCTCACCTCTGCCCCTCCCTTTCCAGTGCAAGCACAACTGTAAAAAGTATCTCATCTCCTCTCATTTCAAATGGGCTTAGTTCACCAATATATAAATGGCAAATAACTGACCCCTCTTCCCCTCATGGCCAATTCAGATCCTCAGACACCTCCTTCATTTTTCTGTCTATCTTCTTTGACATCAGAGATGCATTTCCCTACAGTGAGTTTATTTGGGACTTACCCAGATAACCCTCCCTTCTTTAGTTCCAAGAGTAGGAGGATACAAGAATTCTGTTAGAAACGATGATCAAGTCAACGTGGCTTTCTAGTAAAGAAAAAACAACCTCCATTGTTACTCTTTTCCTGAACCTCGCAACCTTGGTACTTAGGGTCAATGTATGTTCTTTTAAAATGAAGAAAATTGTATTGATTTTTAATAATCTTTTTCATTTATATTATTTAAATGTCCTATCGCAAGCATGGACCACTTTCATAATTAAAATGTTCTTTAAAATGAATCTGATAAAATGCTCTATATATACATTTTCCTTTTAAAATAGAAAATAACACAAGGAAGTCTCCCAGAAGTCTGTGCCAAGTGTTGTTCGCTTTATAATGTACTTATTTATTTTTTTAATTTTTTTGCTTCTTAACTTTCCCTGATCATCCTAGCTAATCTTATTATTAGACTACAATCCATTCAATAATTGACTACCAAAAAAGTGTTTTACTGAATACGTAAAATGAGAATGAAGGAAGAAAAAACATGAACAAAAATGTCCTCTAAGTTTTCCTACACATATCCTATAATTTTCCAGTTGGCTTAACCACTCAACATATTTAAATAACCAACCAACATATTTATTTAACATTCGGCAGATGGACATGATAGGAACATCATGATTTTCAGATGTACTTTTATAACTGCAAGTTTTTCTTGGTGCCAGGATCACAACAGGTTCTTAAGGTAAAGCCGCCCCTACCTGCTGTTTCTTCAACGCCGGAGTTACTCTCAATCTAAACATGTCCACTCAGATTAATTTAAATCCCCGACATTACAGTGGAAATCAAATCATTCTCTTCAATCTATTTTTTACCCGCAGCATAAAAGAGACTATTTTACATGTTAATAGTAATCTGATGTGGTTGTATAAATCTGATATAAATATGATACTCTGTTTGGAAATGATGCTAATTTAGTTTAAAATGGAGATTACATTTCAACTTGTAAAAGAGCAGGATGGAATATTAGCATTCATGGCTGTTATATAATTTCCCTTTACACTACACAAGTGTTACTCAAAATCTTTTCTGAGCCTCTTTGTCCAAAGATTTCCCATTCTTCCTATAAGAAAAAGGACTTCTCTATTTAACTGTAAGTTAAACAGGTGGTACAGACCCTTGAAAAAAGATTAACAACAACATTATAAATGCATTTTTGAAGAAACATTTAAAGTTACAATGTAATAAACTGAACAGAATGTCATAAGAATGTCAAACTGGGCACAGTAAAAATAAATGTTATTCCCAAGGAAAATAAAAAGTCTGCATATTTATGTAACATTCAGCAGATGGACGTGATATTAATATAGGGTTTTCAGTTGTACTTTTATAGCTACTAGATTTTCTTGCCTAACTTGGCAACCCGAGGCACCATTTGAGTTTTGGATTTGGACAATACTGCAACAGATGTCCAGACCAATAAAATAAATTCCTTAAGGGCTATGCTTAATTTGTGTAATTGATCAATTTTGGTTGCATAGGGCCTCAGCTCACCAGCATGTAACTGCCTTCCACAAAAGCTTTGCAGTTGGGATTTCATTCCATATGTTACAAGGGTTTATGGACTCTCTCGTTGACGACGCTGCCGATGGAACGGGGGCTGTGGTGACACCTGTTGGCGATCAGCGGTGCCCAACAACCACCGACACAGTCCGTGGTGGCTGGGGACAGCGCTTCTCGGCCTCGGCACTATCGACTTGGAGGTTCGGGGCCAGGTCTGTGCTGTGGGGCCTGTCCCGTGTGTCCTATAGGAATTTCAGCAGCAGCCGGGCCTCTACGCACCAGGTGCCAGCGGCACCTTCTCCCCAGGCCCCAGAGTGACAAACACAAAAGTCTCGTGGCTGTGTCAAATGGGACATTGACAACGCCATCCCAGGTGAGAACTGATCCAGTACGGTGGATTCTTCTGGAAGAGCCGCACAGAGGACCAGCCTAAGACACCTCACGTAGTTTTTTCCAAACAAAACCCAAGCCACCTTTTTCTCCCTCTCCTTGAAGTCTCTCGATCTAATAACAACAGGTTTACAGGCAACTCACAGAAACTTTGGCCTGACAGAGGGTACCCGGGACACATGCGCTGGAGCCGCTCCATCAGCACACTCGGGCGGTGCTAATTAAGACATGAATTTTGAAACCTAACTCTCAATGTTCATCACTCACCTATTAAACTTGCCAGAGTTGCTATGTTAATTATCTCCCCGTATCCTTGATTTAGCATAATACGGCCTGCAGCCTGTGACAGAAATTAAAGGAAAGACCAGTGACCTCTTTTGTGATTGTGCTAATAACTACATGATCATAAATTAGTTTTCAATTTTCAGAAGACTCTACATGGCAAAAAAAAAAAAAAGGAACAAGTACACGATACACAAACTTGATAGGAGATAGTTGATCGGCATCAACTTTGAATCTTCCCTTTTTAATGAGTTTCCAATCCCTGTCAACAGGAAATTTAAGCAAACTGCAGCATGCCTTTACCTGGCTCCGCACATTACAGAAAATAATCAGAAGACTGGGTCAGTGTGGGTTTTACAGAGGATATTTTAGCGATGAAGCCAACTCACACGACCTTGCGGAGGGCAGAGAAAACTTGACACATGCACGCTGCACACACACCACCCACAAAAGCTTTTCCCAGTCCTGCGCACAGGCTTGAAGGAGTCACACTAATATCAGAATTAAAAACACGCAAAGTTAAACGACTCGTCCAATAGTAAAGAAGTGCCATGACTTCTTGGTATGTTTTGCGCCGTTCTTACATCTGTTCCTGCCTCTGACAGCTTTCTTCCCTTGGCTGGCAAAACACAAATAAGAATGTACAGGAAGCACGGCCCCACTCTGATGTACAATAATATTTAGCTAATTAGAAGAATCCTCCAGCTCATTATGCTAGGCAGGAAGAAGTAAGAAACTACATGAAAGCGTGACACTTGCTAAGCCCTAGGATGGTGTCAAAGCTGAACTGGCATCACTTTCTTCTATTTCTTTATAGATTTGGTTGGATTGCAATTTCAGCCCTTTAAAAATCAGTTTTTTTGACTTTCAGAGGGAGCTATCCCTTGAACACTGCACCATCTTCTGGCCAAATGCTTTACTACATGATCTTAATTAAAGTGTCAAGTCCCAATTTTCTTGAGAGTGACTGCTGGATTAGTACGTGGTCTATTTTATTATTCCTATTTTAAGACAGCACAATAGATAGATAAGGAACACAAAACAGTTTCCTTCTAATTAAATGGAAAGGCATTGGAAGTCTGTTTTAAAACTGTTTTGTGCTTCACAGCCTCAAATAATTTTTTTAGCCTACAAATATTCATGGAAAGCCGTGGACATATTTGGCATTTAGAATATGCTGATGAAGGGTGGGCGCAGGCACAGAGGTTAAAAAATCTGGTTCTGGTCTGCTGAGAGCTCACAACCGAGGCATATCATTAGGAACTGTAAAATGGGTGGATTTGAATAGCCCAGACAAGAAGTGCAGTAGGACTTTGCAAGAGAGATCTGAGGACTGACCTTGCTGGAAAAGGTTTATTGCAGACAAGCGGGTCTTGAATCATGAAGAAGAATGACCGTGTTGCCGCTAATGATGCTTAAAATATGCCAGGCACTGTGCTAAGCCCCTCCCAAATATTACCTTAATTAATCCTCAGAATGGCCTCATCTTACTGATGAAGACCCCCACAACGGCATAGAAGAGGTTAGGACTCCAGCTCAGGTCAGCCTGACTTCACGGCTCATGCTCCGAACCACCCAGCAGCACTGTCTTCCTGTGCGAAGGATGAGATTTCCCGGAAACAAGGCAGAGGGGCTTCTGGAGGAATGCAATAAATTTAGCAAAATGTAGAGGCCAGGGATGTGCAGTGGCAGCTCTGCATGTCCCTGTAGGGGGGACTTTGGTTGGAAATCTGTTTTTATGGGGTGGGGAGGGGTGGTTCAGGGGCTTACTTGTTTGAAGCTGTGTCTGCAGAGGAGGCATAGAGATCCAGGTTAGATAAAATAAGAGGAGCTGGTGGAGATTAGGAGAAGACCAAACCTTCCAAGGCAACCACAGCTGCTGCCGCTGAGAAAAGGCGTTCTGTAGTGGAGGGGCGGTGAGGGAGGTGTGGGGGCAAACAGCTAAGTGGTTCAGAGGACAGTCATAGGACACAGCGTCTGGAAAGCAGGTGGGAAAGAAGCAAACACATTCAGATAGGTAACAAGAGGATGGGGCTTCCAAAGAAATGCATAAGAAGCGGTAGATTCATCTACTTCCATAACCCTTCACTCATCCAACAAAATGACTGAGCTGAAGCGTGAAGGATCCCAAGAGGTGATAGGATCTAATGGACATGTTGCAAGTAGGGGAGACTCGGGGATACCCACAGCAGGAGAAAGGCAGTCTGGAGAGATGGGGGGAGGGGAGCTTGGACGGAGGCACAGTGAAGGCTGCAGGTGGGAAGGACATGGTCACGGACAAAGGTAGAGGGAGCTGGTCTCCAGAAAGGCTTCTTAGGAAGACAGGTAAGTAATGCAATCAGCGCGTAAACCCAGGAGGCGGGCAGAGTAAATGCTCGAGGTGGGCCGTCCAGGTGAAATCAGGGAGTGTTGGCGGGAGGCAGCCTGGAGACACGGATGCCATCTCAAGGGGGTGGCTGAGCCTCAGCTCAGACTCCTGCCATGCAAAAATGAGAACCCAGAATTGCCAGCTGCTCAGATATTTCAAGACAAGCTAAAAAGATGGGTTTCTATATGCAGTCTCTCGATGTGTATGTTGTTGGAGATTTTAAAGAATTTTAAAACACTATGCGGGCCAAACAAAACACATCTGTAGTCCAGATGGGGCTGCAGGTTGCCAGTTTAGGACCTCTGGCTTGGAAGAAAGATGGTAGCATGGTCCCCAGGCGGGGTCACGGCTCTGCGCTCCCCACCCACCGTTGCGTGCACCAGCTCGGGGGTTGCAACTCAAGGACCAGCCAGCATCTCAACCACAACCTGCACCAACTTGAATTCATTTTCTCCCCGAAAAGCCCTTTTTTCCTGCTACTCCCATTTCTCATGAATGCCAGGGTTGGTGTGCAAGTTCTCATCTTTGGCATGGCCTGGTCTCCTTTCTTTTCCTGACCTTCTATAAGCCACTTCCTAAAGTCACGGCCTTTACAGTCTCTTGACAGGTGTCTTTTTTTTTTTTCCCTAACTTCCCTGTCCTCTTTTCTAATTTAAGCTCTTCTTATTTCCAGTCTAGAGCATTGAGATCATATCCCACCTCTACATGCCACCTCCTGTTCCTCCCAATGTACATGTGTCACTGGACATATCTTTCTCAACTATGGTTCTCTTTCACCATACCCTTCAGGCTCAGTCCAGAAACGTGAAATGATGTCGTCACTGCTTATTAAAATGAGTACAATCAACTTGAGCTGACTTGTCATCCATGACTCTTCGCCGTAAGACATATTTAACCCAATACTTCTGACCCAAATGCCTTTCCATATCTTTATATATCCTAAGCCTTGGCCAGCGTGAACTGTCCAATTTCCCAAAATCAGCTCAATTTTCAGGTATCTCGATCAGAGTCTCTCAACATCTGCACTATCGACATTTGGGGCCAAATAATTCTCTTTGGAGGGTTGGAGGGCAGGTAGGGGGTGGGGACTGTCCTGCGCATTGTGGGATTTCTAGTAGCATCCCTGGCCTTATCCCACCTAGATGCCAGTAGCTCCTCCTCCCAGCTGTGACTGCCAAATAGGATGTGATGAGAACATTGAGCCCTTGTAATATTTTTCTCGGGATAACCTTCAAATTAACTTGAACTCTTTAGATATTCACCAGGAAGGAGCAGAAAAGCCAGAAATAACCAGAGTGCCAGAGGAAGGGTGGCTGCTGATTAAAAGTTGTTGTGTCTGAGTTACACTGACAATTACCAGAGTTAGCACATCTCTTGACTTCTTTTTATCTGTTATCAAATAAAAGAGCACTTCCCCCAGGGAGCTTTGTCCCCCACCAGACTCCCATGCCAGGGCAAATTCCCTTGCTCTGGGCTCTCACAGCACAGACTTTATAATCATTGCTCGTTTAATGTTGGTTTCTCCCCTCGGTTGTACAATCTGTGAGGGTACAGACCTACATGTCATTGTCACAGCTGTATCCCCAGCCCCTAGCACAGTGCCTGGCATGGAGACGACACTAAGTGAGGATTTTGGCAATGAATGGTAAACCTTGCAATAGTAGAGGGTATGCTCCACATCTAGTTCTTTTTTTTTATTTTTATTTATTATTTATGATAGTCACACAGAGAGAGAGAGAGGCAGAGACACAGGCAGAGGGAGAGGCAGGCTCCATGCACCGGGAGCCCGACGTGGGACTCGATCCCGGGTCTACAGGATCGCGCCCTGGGCCAAAGGCAGGCGCCAAACCGCTGCGCCACCCAGGGATCCCATCCACATCTAGTTCTCAGCAATTCCCAATTCCCTTATTCCTTCCAGACACAGCTCGGGATCAATGATCTCCATGAAGACCTCACCGACTAATGCCAACTGACAGTGGTCTTTCTTTTCCCATAAATCTTTATAGTACTTCACAGCATCTTCTTACTCAGCTTTCCAGATAGCAGGTCTTTATCACCAAACACATTCAAGATCTCCAAGAGAGTCCATATCCTCAAGTTTTTCTTTATTATGACCCTTCACAATGAGTACACAGTTGACAATTCTAAATATTTGCAGATGAAATAAATGATGGTATTAGTCATTAAAATAGTTGAAAAGACCTCCGTAACTAAATTGAACCTTAGAAACTAAATTTTGAATTTATGACCTCTGTCTGAAATGCTTACCTAATGCTCTCTTCCGGTATTTTAAAATTAAATTTCTATTGATTCAAGCTCAATTATTATTTATTTGTACAATAAACATGTCACTTTACAAATAATACATACAAAAACCTTCTAGTCAGCACACAATTTTATCATCCCGCAAGTTCGTCAGCTGGTAGAGTCAGTTCTTTGTTAGGAAAAAAATAGAAACCTGTGAGTTCAGACAGACTGATTAACCTCCCTGATTTGCTTAATCCATAAAATGGGTACATTAATATCTGTCTGCTTGTGAGGGCAGTGATAGTTCCTGCAGGCTAAGGGTCTGACACGCTACACCCCGGATTCAAATCTGTATTCTATCTTATGACAGCTGTGTGTCCTTAGGCAATTATTTTCTCTTTCTGCCCTGGTTTCTTTAAATGTAAAGTGGGTTGGGACACCTGGGCAGCTCAGAGGTTGAGCGTCTGCCTTTGGCCCAGGGCGTGATCCTGGAGTTCCAGGATCGAGTCCCACGTCAGGCTCTCTCCATGGAGCCTGCTTCTCCCTCTGCCTATGTCTCTGCCTCTCTCTGTGTGTGTCTCTCATGAATAAATAAACACAATCTTTAACCAAAAAAAAAAAATGTAAAGTGGGTTTAAAACTAGAAATCTACCTGGTGTGAGATGTATATGACAGTGTAAACAGTCCCTGATAAGCAAGTGCTCAGTGAATGCAGGTCCTCCCATCACAAAGAAACAAATGAGACAATGTAATTAGAAAAGAACTTTGGACAAGAATACCTCTTAGAGATGATCCATTTGGTGATTATTGGAAAGCTTACTGATAACAGTACCAATTACCTATTACCCATTTAAACAAAATTTGGCCTTCTCTATCTTGCAGCCACAAAGTCAGCACTGGGATATTATAGATTGAGAGTAGAAAGGGGCCAGGACATGCATTATACTTCAAAGTGTATAACCCTGTAACTGTCCCCATAGCTCTTTGGATTTTTAAGAGACTTTTTTGTTCAATGTGGTGATTCTGTCCGGAATATCCAAATCTGTTCTGAGTTAGCTGGAACTTTTACTGTACCAAAACTGAGGCAAGCTAGAACTATAGGTTCAAAATAAAGTCAAGCAGAAATACAGCTCTGGCCACGGAATTCAGTGTCCATCCTACCCCCATGATGGCAGGAGCCTTTGCAGTCCTCATGCTGCGTTGAGAGAATTGAACTGGACTCCTTTGCACTCATCAATT